AGAGTGAGAATACCTTATCTAAAAGACACTTTTTAGGTTCAAACCAACTGGATTTAGGCATTGGAACTGGCAACCAGTTCAATGTTGAACTAAAACACGAAATTAAAACAGCAAGAATAATATTTTTTGTAATAAATAAAAGGTCAACATTACAATTGTAATTGTGATAGGTTAGAATGGTGCTATATGCCCTTAATGTTATGCTTTGTGCCCAATGGCAGTGATACAGTTCATGAGAGTTCATGTTAATAAGTTAAAAACAGTAAAAAGGTTGGTAATAAATATTAATAAATATAAATTTAAATAAGCCTTAAAAACAGTTTTTAAAAAAAGAGTTAAAAGTTTATTAAAACGTTTATTTTAGTTTATTTTTCAGTACCATCCATCACATCTGTTATCGACTGCTTAGCCTGGGATTCAATGATCTGGTGATTGGTAATGCCTTCGCGCGCCACTTGGGGGATTTCGCGCTCCTTCTCTTCATTGCATTAAACTTGTGCATGAAGGAAGCAGTGAGAAATCACTCAAGTGGTTCTTTTGTTTTCAGGTGAGAGTTATCAAATGTTTTGTGTTTGCTGTATATTGTTCAAGCGATTGTTGACAAATGTTATATTAGCTAAGGGTTTGATTTCTGTGTTTTTATATTAATAAGACCAGATGTTTTTTTACATTGTGCGCTAGTGTCCGCCATCTTGTGTCCACACAGGCTTATGAGCCACATGTAAAATGTTCATGATTATTATATTTGATTGCATTAAACTTGTGCATGAAGGAAGCAGTGAGAAATCACTCAAGTGGTTCTTTTGTTTTCAGTTTTCAGCACAACGCAACATACCCCTACTACACGGGTACAACATAATCAGTTAACGCAATACCTGATTTGAAAATGTTCACCTCACATGTGGAGACAACTAGGTCATGTTTATTAAGTGTGATACATACATACATACATACATACATACATACATACTTTTAACTCAACTTCTAATTATGTGTCCATGCCTTTTAAACTTGAAAATACAGCATATTACTTTCAAAAATTACCTCAGTATCCAATGTACTTTCCAATACTGTTACTTCATACATAATTCTTTTGGATTAGCATATGGTCTCCATTTTCTCTCAATGTTCAGAAACACCATCCCCAGAGCTTTGCGTTTCACCACCGCCCCTTATCCTAGTGGTGAGCAGGGAGGCCTTTGGAGTGGTCATGTTTTATGCGTGCCTTCGTGGATGTGAGGCTGCAGCGGGTGGAAGTCTGTAGCAGTGTTAGCTCCTGTGGTGATGCTCCATGTATGTGTGTGCAACAAAATAAGGGATTATTCTTGTGAATGTTTTGTCAGCTCGGCTAGAAGTCACACTGTATGTAGGCCTATGTGTGCCTTAACTGTAGTGGAAAGAGGCGTGTGGGTGTAATGCTGCACAATCTACCACTGTGCCACAAGTGGAAAAGGTGGAAAACAAGATTGACAGAGAGAACAATGAGGATTCGTAATTAAAATTTGCAGTGTCGTAAAAGTTGGTGACACCGTTCACGGAGCTGTGGCTTCTTACAATCGATGGAGAGAGCCAATGAAGCAAAATAATTTAAACTTTTAGGTGAGGTGGGAGCCGTAACACCAAATTAATTAAAATATTTATTGGCCTAATTAAACAAAGCAGAGTGGAATTTGCTGCAGGTTTATTGAACTTAAAAGAAAATACAGCCCAAGTAACTATCATGCTCTTGCGAAATCTTTTCAGTATGTATGGGTTATTACACAATTCTAATTAGCGAGTAAGGAGTCCCTAAAGCAACACGGCGTAGCGCTCTATGATCTCTATTTGCTGCTTGAATCCATAGTAGCATATGTAAGAGCTACGGGTGAAATCCTCCAGCCGATGTTCTCAGTTTTGCAAGGATGAAAACAACGATTTGGCCACATTACATGATATAAAAATCTAATGAGGAAATATATGCTCCCTTGTGCTCTTCAACCACAACACGCAATTATGTTCACTTACTGTTTTACAGGCCCAGCACACGGTAATGACACAACAATAGCTTCTCCCTTAAGATGCCTCTACACAATGCAATAGGCTGAAGACACAGATCGATATGTTACTGGAATAAAGTCTAAGAGTGCGTTTGGGGGCGAGATTGCAGCCTTGAATATGGCTGAAGGAGAATGAACAAAGAGAATAAAAGCAAGTGTTTTTACAGAGAGTCCTTCAAGAAATAGTAATTGTGACAGTGCCTTGGAAGGGAAAATGTTTATAAATTTGTTCTCGGCTGGAGTTGATATTCCGCCATGCATCCTGCCACCTGCCCCGGGCTTGTTAACTAGACGCCTGTGGCCATGATTGCATGGCCATCAAACTCCCAACCGATAAGTTCCTCCGGGAAAGAGAGAGAGAGTGGCTTTGTCATTGACTTCACCCCAATCGCCTTCCCTCCTGTGCTGTACGTTGGAGATAACGCCAGACCCGAGAACTCTTGCTTCACATCCTGCATTATCACCTCTGCAACGTTTATATACGTGTCTTTTTCAGTAAAGGAAGTGGGGTATTTTAACCGCCACAGCTTCATCTAACCACTCCTAATACCTTGTCCGGAGCAGTTTATCAGGTGATGACTAGATTTATGCGTTCAATTATAGTGCTGTAGCCTATCATTGATGTAGAAGCTGGAGAGACACCTGTCATTTCCAATGTTAGAGAAGGGATTGTGTGATTGATTGAAGCCTCAGAGAGCATGCTGGGTTAGGGACATGGTGACAGGCTTTTTTGATTGACATAGATGGGGAAAGCAAGGGTGGTTCCAAGAAACAACAAGAACAAGATGGTAAAACAAAAGCAGGTTAGATAGAAAGAGATTTACGAAGACAGTTAGGGCCAAAGCCAGAGACAGGTGGTGTGTGGGAGAGGTGGCAAAAGCATGGAGGATGGCTAATCGTTTTATATGTTCAGGCAGGAGAGAAAGAATGACGCTTTGACTAAGAGAAGGAGAGGGAGGGGGCGAAGGGTGATAAGTATTCCACGTGGAAAAGCCCAACTTCAGTCATGCCCCAGTGAATGTGCTGACAAGGTCTGCCTGTGTCTCCAAGGAGCAAGTGTCATACAAGCGGTCCAACCACACTGCGCCACACCGAACTCAATGTAACAGGCACAGCTTAACACAGAAATCCACAAATTACTAAATACATGCACTTTTAATACAGTCTGAAAAGTTTTCTATGTTTTATTCTTATGAAAATTAGAATTGACGCAAACTGTGGTTTTCCTTAGCGTATTGGTTTTACTCTGTGGTTAGGTGTTATTCTTGTAAAGGCAGCCAAGCTTGATTTTAACACCCTGGAGGTAGCGCCTTGCTCCTTTAGCCTTTCATTCACATATGGCAAGTGAGAATTTTCTGTGACAGGTGAAAAACCTTAGGCAGCAGATAAAAACCGTGTGAAACCATGAAAAATACTGAAACATTTAAAGCTACACATACATAGTGTGTTCCAACAACTGCTGTGTTAATTACTTTGTGCTAGTAACAATATGTAATTTTACTACAATAACATACATGCTGATGTTTAACATGGTTTGAACAATGACTGCATAACAATTATTCTGTGTACTGCATATGTTATGAAAGATTTTTATACCTATCTCTTATTACTAGAACTTCTACCTTATAGCTAGTACTCAACCTTTGACAGCACAGTCTACCTACCACCACTAATTAAAACTGCTGCTTCTAATGCTACTACTTTAAAACAATTAAATATTAATGATACATTCTTATTTTGACATTTTTTCCAAGGTCATACATTAAAAAAATGTTATTTATGATAAAGGGGTGGTGGTATCTTCTGAGCAGGCATTATCTTTTATTTGTTATGAACTATTTACAATTGCAACATAATTTTATTCAATCCATCTAAATCTTCAGCTTCAGGGTCGCCATAGCAATTCATCTGTCTTATAGAGATATGAAAGAACCTTTCAAATCGCTCAAGGCACTGCGTCGAACAAAGTGGCTCCACATCTCTGGACTGACACTCTGACTGATCAAAGCATGATATTAATCCACCTAATTAATCCTGCATCAAAGTTATAACAACCCACATTTTAATTAAATAACTGGCAGCATAGTCAAAAATCCTCGACAGTGTTTTTTTGTTAATAAGTGCTGAGAGCGTTCTGTAATAATGTTATCTCAGTCAGTTTTGTAGATGATAATTTCATCCCAATAATTTATACTACTCTTGGTGGTGTTCTAATTACCGTCTCTTACGCCAAATATGTTTTAAATGTCTGTACTGTAATTTGTTATGGGACATGCCAACTTATGAGAATGTATTTGTAGCAGTTGTGTCCATTTACTGTATGTTGTTTTAAAAATCACCAGTATTTAAGGTTCCACTATGCTTTGCCTGGAATTTTTCACAGTTTTACTATATTTATCTCAGATCTATTCAATTATAGGTGCTAATACCTTACTGTGAATGGGGTTGTATCTCCCCTGATCTGACATGTAACTTGGCCTGCGTCACCTGCTTGTCTCCAAGGAGATAGATAAATTAAATGCCATGTTATGGAACATTCCATGAAAAGCAATAACATCTCCATGGAGACAGGCAGGTGGCAGGCCCTATCACCAGAATAGTTTCTCAATATTCCTCAATAAGAAATTATCATGAGAAATGTAATTTGTATTGCATTATTCAAGATATGCAGTGCAAATCATTTGAGCATTTTCTTAACAGTATCCATCTTTGTCAGTGCAGCATTTGATAACTTTGTCTCATCTAATAGAGCACACTCATTTGTCATTATGCAACTACATAAATGGCATTGTTCTGAGCCTAAAAAGCCCAGTGTTCTTGTTTCTATGTGATTGTGCGATTTTACAAAGCCCTTCTTGCCTCTCTTGTCTGTAAGTTCTTGTACCTGTCTATGCTGCCACACTTCTAATTACCTCCTCACAATGATTAAAGTTTTAACTCAATTATCTCTATCTGTTCTCTCAGGGTTTTCTTGCCTCCGTGGGATGGATAGAAGGTGAAGAAGTGTCACGGAGAAGACGCTAACCGAGATAGAGGGAGCAAGCCAGCAAGGAAAAAATACCAAGTGACTGACACCTGCCCTCCAGCTAAGTGTGAAGGGCAGTGAGAGAAAGAGAGCGAGAGAGAGGGAAGAGGGAACAAAAACAGAGAAGAATGAAGACAACCGGAAAACAAGGCTGGCTTCATTGCAAATTACCCTCAAATTAGGACTCATCTCATCACAGGTCAACATGATTACAAGAAGTCTGCTCCTGTTGGTCTCCCTGTGCGTGTGGGAGGGGCTTTTGAATGGTGCCACGTCCAGTAAGATCGCTCGGAGGAGAGGAGTGGGCGGGTCTCATATGCTGAAGCTGGGAGATAGCCGAGCTGCGGACCAATGGGAGTCGAGTGTGGAGGCGTTGCCCGTGGTGACGCTTAGAAACCTGGTTAGCCATGAGCAGGAGAGTGAGGAGACTGTGTCCTATGCCAAAATATTGCAAAGTCACGCCACATCAGCTGACAAGGATAGGCAACTTTTTAAGCCAAAGCGTGAGGTGGACTGGCACTTGATGGCAGCTAGTAGGGAGGTAACTCAGGAGATGCACAGGCTAAGAAATAATACTAAGAATGTAGAGTCCAAATCAGTGAGGCCAGAGAAAACGTATACAATCCATCACAAGCAAGAGCTTCACTCCAACAAGACCAGGTTTAAAACAAGTTTAAGAACAAGAATTAGGCCAGAACTGAGCACTGGAGCGCTACCAGGAAAGGCCTTCAGTATAGAGTCCAATAGAAAAATTAATCTGACTGGGAGCTATGAGGTGTTGAAACTACTGTCCAAAGAGAACCTAGTACGGATCGTCAATTCCCAAATGCAGAGCGTTCCGAGCCTGAGTTTTCCCAGCAAGGGCAGCAGAAGCAGGAAACGAGATTTGATTGACGTTAATCATGGACAGTCCGATGCCCAGAAGCCGCAAAGACAAGATATAGCTGTCACTCAAACCCATAGTGGACTTGATAATCAGACTGCATTTCCCTACGCGAGCCCAGTGCCCACTCCATTGGATCATAATCGGGGGCAAAGTGCAGAGGCACATGTTAATCCATTAAGCAATAGGGACAATTTGGGAGATACAGTTGCCAGTGACAGCAGGAGCAAGCACCTCGTCAGTTTAGCTCAGATTGAGGTCAACAGCCCCAAGAAAGAAGTAATGATCGACCGAACGGAGCCACCATTTACATCGACAAAACATCTCCCACAGTTTGTCCCCTCTGAAACAAACGCTCCGTCTGTGCTGACAATGCAACCCCAGGGATTGCGGCCGGGGAACAGAGCAGCCGATTCCCACCGAGACCCATTAGCAGAGTCAATTCACTTCGCCAACATGGAACTCAGCACGGCTCAATATCCCAAAGATGAAGACAGCAAGCTTGTCAACAGCAGTGATAGCAGCAGTCATGTCCTGAGGCTCCATCCCGCTCCCTCCGAAAACCGCAATAGCAAAGAGGCCAAAATGGTAGAGCCTCAGATACAGGAAAATGGTGTGGGTCTGGTGTTTGAGGAGCTGGAGGAAGAGGAGGGGACTCTGGGTGGGATTTCAGAGGGGAAGGCCGTACGGTCTCGGAGCAGGAGGAGCTGGATCTGGAATCAGTTCTTTGTGATCGAGGAGTACGCTGGGCCTGAACCTGTTCTCATCGGACGGGTAAGGGAAAAGCTAACTTCATTTATGATTTAGCAAGGTTGTGAATGCTGTATGAATGTTTAATGAATATTTAAGATAGTGTGACTTACATGGCTTGTTCAACCTAAGGTCGTCCTCTCGTATCTCTGAGGAAGAACCAGGAATTCTTCTTCCAGTTTTTTTATTTGACTAGGAAAATTGGAGAGGAGTGAGAAATTGAATAAATGGGTCTCAGCACATCTCACACTTATAAAATCATATTTTAAATTTAACACATAATCCTAATAATCCTAAACACTTAAAAAACACTCATACTTCCACTATTGTTGTTTTGTCAAACAACAAACCATTTTTAAGTACATTTTTTTTTCCTTTTAAGTAAATTTTGTCTTTTCAAATAAAAAAGACAGTTAAGGGATGACAGAAAGCCTTGGGGGTGACTCAAACCCACAACGCCAAGGTAGTTGCTGTCTATATGCTTTCATGCTCTACCAACCAAGCTATACTTTCTACACTTTATGTGTTATAGAATTGCAATCACAATTGATTTATACTGCTCTGTGCAATGCGTTGCCTTCCAGGTAGCCGTAAAACCTTCAATTAATCAATGGTGTGCCGAGGCGCAACAAAGCCCCCTATCCCAAACGCCCGAGGGTCCCGTCATGATCACTGCCAATCTGTGCCCGCCGATGGGAATTGACACATTGAGAAGAATTAATGCCTTTACTTTTTCCTTCCACCACTGATGTTTACCTGAAGGCAGAAAGCAAGAGCAGAGTCCGTCCTCATTTTCCTGTAGGTCACACCTGTCAACTCGACATGGTCAGAGGTCTGCAAGGTCCCTGATAATGCCATTTCAATCCCACTGATTTACACTGTGTTTGACGGGATTTATCACCGCGTGTCCCTGCGCACTACACAGGGAAGCTTGTATTGGTCTGATGTGAAATTTATTAGAATCATTGAGCGGACATGGCCCTCCCTGCTCTTATAAAGCAGTGGGCAGATGAGATAGGAGGAGGTCACGTTGGCTGGACAGAAGGTGTGCATCTACATCTGTACACTGTAATGGTCTTGGTCTCATTCTCAGCATGTGCCAGTCTGTCTCTGTACGCAGCTGCCGCAGATGAGCTAATTTATAAGCCTGTGTGGCCAGTTTGCAGAGTAAATGAATAGTAATGATCCCGGTGTGGCTGCTGCGGGCTGTTGGAAACCACACAGATAGTTGATGTGTTCTGTGTTTGTGTGTATTGGCTTGGGTCTAGAGTTAAGAGTGGCATCTCAGCTGGGGGAGTTACAGAAAAAATATAAATTTTACTGTTTTTCTTCCATTGAAGTACTTTATTTATGGATTTAATTTTGCAAACTTCAGTACGGCTCAGTAAATGTAGCCTACTTAATATAGAAAATACGCTGTGTTATACCACTAATGCTGGGCTATTGATACTTCTGTTGGTTATTCTACTCTCACGTTTACTACTGCAACGATTAATACAGCTGTAAAACTGTGATGGCACTACAATCACTACTTTTGTACTTTTGAGGTCATCCAGAAATACCTTTCTTCATTAAGAAAGAATATTTCATTAGTCTTAATATCTATTGGACAGTTTTTTTAGTAATAATAAACCCAAGAAAGTAATCTTAATTATCTTTACATTTTTCTAAGAATTACACGTAAGCTTTTTATTATTAAGAGTTAGTCTCTATTTAAGCCGAGGGAATGGGTTAGTTAACATGATTTACCGTTGTTTTTCTGTCTGCACCCTGGGTATTGACAACGGCTGTAAAAAGAAGTTAGTAGCCACTGAAAAGATGCAGAAGCAGAGCGGTCCAGCTTACAGATGGCACCGCGTGTAAAGCCATTATTGCCAATCTGCTGTGTCAAGCAGGTATTTATGCCAGCACATTGTATGGCATTCATGGAAGGAACAGGGCCAGGCAGGACACACACAAGCCCATATGATAGTGCTGACTCTTGGAGTACACCCAGAAATGTTTTTGTGGCTGTGTACTGGCCTAGAGATGCCTGTGATTAGTTCCCTATTGTATTAGACAGTGATGGCACACATGAATAATGCTCTTATACATCTTAATACGCTTATGGATGTTTAATCTGCTCTGCTCCACTGACTATTGATACTTTGCAGCTGATGTCGTCAACGTTCCCTGGAGCTTTGCTTTTAACTGAAGGCTCTACTCTGTCTGAAGCTCTGTTAGTCAAATTAAGACAGGACCATGAACACTCGTATTGATCACAGGTTCATGAAAATGTGTTATATAAATAAATTTTGTATTGTAGTTTTCATCTTTAAACAATTTTACCATGTTTGCTAATGTGTGCTTGCGTCTCCATGGTAACCGATGAATAATTTGCCAATGGGATGTCACTGCAAAAGTATCAATAGGTACAAATGAATACAAATTAATATGTATTTTGATTCATGGGCCTCATTTTGCTATGGTTAAAGTGAAGGTGAAGATATCTGTTACTGACCTCATAGAGAAAGTTGTCATCTACATTTGAACCATCTTTCATTCTGCTCAGTGCCTTGTCTGGAGACATATCTTCAGATCTTGAGTTAGGCTTGGTGAGGAATACTCTAGTTGGAGAATTTAACCTACTGTGCTACCTTTTGTGTTGTATTATGTTTTGGGTATCCCAAACAGAACTAGATACTTTTTCAAATATTTTGTAAGATTAAAAATTCCACATGTTTGATATGTTTGGTTACTGCTTTGTCAAATATTTCAAATTTCTTGATTCTGTTAATCTGAATGGTCTTGGGTTTTCAAGCAATTTTTTCAATTCTTTGTATTATTATTATTCTCTAGTCATTTTTGTATTGTATTTTTGTATCAAACTTGACTTAATTTAATAACCTTATTTGTATATTTTTTGTAAGACTACTGTACCGATTAGAGCCGCTCCACTTGTCTAACCAACTGTCCAAAATCCAGATAGACTGAATCACCATTTTCGTCTGTGACTCAGTTTCTCATCTCCAAACGCCAATAACATGCTCACTCTCAGGTTTGTGCATGTTAATCTTAAGGTGTGATTTTTGTGTTTAACGAAAGGCTCTTCTCAAAAATCCTCTCTCGAGTCTGACTCATGCTGTGTTGTGTGTGATCTCGGCCTGTTTTGGGATAAATCTGCATCAAAAGCTTCAGACAAGAGCCAAGACTGTAATCTGTGATGTCAATGAGAGACAAAGGCTCCTCAGCACTGCCAGGTCTTTGGGCGCTGGAGCACAGAGACATTTTGAAACATTTTTCAGGCTTTAATCTGAAATTCTTTGTGATTTGTTTGTCCATTAACTGTAAGACCTTAATTCCCCTAAGAGTAAAGAAGATTGTAGGGGTATTATTAGATTATGTATGTCATTTATAATGTTGTATTACATATGCAGCACTTTGGACTCTGCCTTGTTTATAAAATACTGCTTAAGTACTATAGAAATAAAGTGGGATTGGATTCTCACCACACTTCTTTGAAAAGACACGATATACACTTTTTTGTGTAACATACTTAAACTTGTATTTTTTCTAGTTCAGGAAAACACCATTCAGCGAAAGAAAGAGAGAGTGATACTTTCAGGTTCTCCAATAAAAAAGGCGATTTCTTTCAGTTAGGCATGAAACCCTATTAAGCCCATTTAGACACATTGTTAGATCCATGTACAAGGAAGAATTGTTTTTCATGATGCTAAAGCAGGGGTCTCCATCCTTTTTCCTCCGGTAAGCTTCCTTTACAAAGCAAAAATGCCAGAGAGTTATTAATTTTAGTGATTACATGAAATTGAGAATACAAAAGAGCAACGACAAGCCTTAGATGGGGAACAGTTAAATGCCTGTAACACATAATCCATGCATTTTCCATTTATTAGTGCACAAAGTTAGGCAACAAAGTGATATGTTTAAAATGGTAAATCATCAAATTTTGAGTTATTATATATATCTGTATATATTCAGAAATCCCATGGTGGGCTACTTGGAAGAGGGTGGGGAGATACTGGTAGGCCAAAGCTACAGGTTTGAAACCCCTGTGCTAAAGGGACTGAATGGGATGAACAGTTCCAGCTCAACCGTGTTCCTTACACATACTTTCTACAGCAGTGACTTAGTGGTTAGGGCCTTTGTTCACCCACTCGAAGGTCAGAGGATCGATTCTCTCTTGCACTTGTACAAACTGTCATTGTGTCCTTTGGTAAGACACTTCACTTGGCTAATTGTAGGATCGGTAGTCAGAGTGGCCGATGATGCAGTTTGGTGGCTTTTACTTTCATCAGTCTACCCCAGGGCAGCTGTTGCTGCAACTGTAGCATTCTATCACCAGTTGTGGAGTGAATAATTAATACAATGCATCTTTGAGTATCCAAAAAAGCACAGTATAAATGGAATGCATTCTTATTATTACAATTATTATTACAATTGGAAAGAGGGGCTTTAATACAGTGTCATTTCAAGCATGCAATACATCTAATATGACCCACTCTATACTAGCAGGATATGAGTTACTTTTAAAGCCATATTTAATTTTTTACTCCTCAATTTCGTTCTTCTGCTTGTATAAGGCTGTGTTTACTGTGATCTTTGTGTTTGGATAGTATTTGTGGATCACAGGCATTGCTTAAAAGGGCAAAGTAAAGTGTGCAGTGGCTGGTCTGACAACTCTGTTCTTAAATCTTGTGCACATGCACATGCACACATTTGCACTTGAACTCGTCGCTGCTGTTACTATATTTTCTCAAGCCACATTCTTTCTGTCCCATGATAATTGTGAATTTAATTGATGCTGTCACATGGACTGTAATGGTGTTTCAAGTGATTGCAAAGGCAAGTGTGAACGAAACATAGATTTTTGCTTTTTTAATACCATAAAGAGAGAAGGCGTCTCAGCAGTGTGTGGATTAAGAGTAAATATACATCTTGCTGATTAGTTCCATCCCCCATTCTCTTTTGAAATACAACGCCTCTGTAGAAAACTAATCAGTTATAACAATATGACCATCTGTTAT